CCTGTTGAGGTCTACATGATCTATATCATCTATAGCGTATATAGTAAAACTAAATACTGCTTAAAATTGTGTTTGTGTGCCTGATGGTTTCACGATACTTCTGAGAAGTTGTGAAGTACAACTTTTTTTGCCCCAGATATTGGTGAAATGTGTTCTTTTGCTGTTCATCTTGGATAAGCTACAATTTGGTCATTCATTAGCGAATTCAAAGAAAATTCGGGAAGGCATCGCTGATGAAATCGATTCTCTTTCATATCTGGAAACAGTTTATTGTATATTGAATCCTGTCTTTTATATTTTAGTGATGGTCAAGTGTAGGAATACGCCATACTTTTGTTCTTTCCCTATATCAACAGCTAATTCTCCCTATTCGAAACAGACAGTATTTGAGAGCCGTTCATGCCCTCAGGCTATGTTATTCTGCATATTATTTGTAATATTATAATATTAAATGCTACGACTTGATGTTCTTCCTCACCGCTGTTATTTCTCTGCAGTATGCGATCCGAATGCCTTACGAGGTTGGCGAGCTATGAACAAAACTTTGGTCTCATACGGGACTCGAGCCCGTGCTTGCGTCACCCTGCTCTTTATCCATTTTCCTTTATTTAGATTATATATATACCCGTTCATTGCGGATATGTTGCTCTTGGAAAGACTTCCATGTTATTGTTGTTGATTATGGCTTTGCAAGTTTCACAAGGTACTGTAACTATAACAGATTGAAGAAATTTTGCCTCCAACTCGTTGTCCTTTGTAGGAAACTAATAGTGCAACATGAAAGACTATTCAAAAAATCTATTAGCGATAATTCACACTTATAGGAATATGCTAACATTTTCAATGGCAAACCTCGAAAGAAATGGTCTGGCTAATTAACGCAATCATAAGGGAGGATATTCAGAACGCTTTTTTCGACTTCTATCAAGTCGTTTTCCCGTAAATTCAACAGATTCACAGACGCCAAAGCCAAAAAAGGATGTGAATAGTCAAACCTCACATTCATTCGCAGAATTTATGATTATCGTAGCTCCTTACCTAGTGCCGTGTGAGGTGAATGAGGAATGACTGAGAAAATGATTATTTGCTCTCGTTTTTCTCGAGATTTGACTTTTCACATCTTTTTTTTGGCTTTGGCCTTTTGAACTAATCTGAAGATGATATTTCCCGAACTTTGTACCGATATAGGAGATGTCGTGCACTGGTCTCGATAAATGTGTATTCTGGATTTGTTTACCTTGTTTCCGATGACTCTAGCAAGCTATTTGATCTTTAGAGAATCAAGAGTGATGCTGGCAGGCTCTTCTTGCAAATAACGTCAACCTTCACCAAACATTCTGTACAGAATTCTCAAAATATTGAAAAGCCCTCGATGTTTGTCTCTGAGCCATACATAGTTAGTCCAAGGCCTATCTGGGGATCATGAAGAATTCACGAAAATGGTTGCGATTAAAGGATACATTTTTCTAGGCTAATCTCGGAATCAGTCATATACTTGCGAGGCCGACTGCGGTGGATAGAGAAAACATCATGAAAATCTTTGGATTTCTATTTTTTAGTCTCCTTCTTCAGTGATGTCTTTAGTGGTCTTAATGGGTCAGAAACTTAGCTCAATAACTGAGATAGAGATTCTATGGGACTCGTCTCTGCTTGCTAACTGTTTTTCTGTTGTATATAATTCAAAATAACTCATAATAACAAACTGCTTTGAACCGACAAGCAAGTTCTCAGCTTTAGAGGGCACCAGAAAATGTATGTTTTGTGGGCACCACGTCTAGGTGATAGTGTAAGTCAATAGCGAAATTGTGGAACCGAACGGGGGCAAGAAGTTCACAAACAAGGATGAATAAGTGATCTGGCAGATAATGTTGCCTCTTGGGCCATCCATCTTCACTGTTCCTATGTCCGAAACGATTTCGAAACATAGAGCGAAGTGGAGTAGCATAAACAAACTGCCTTTCAACGGTAGCCAAGTATGTCTCCCTCCCTGAAAGTAGAAAGTTTTTGCCTTTTGAGTTGAAATAGCTATGTATTTGGTTCAATATGCACATCTCTTTTCATCTGCTTCTTGTCTTTCTCTCCTATGATTCATTCGAGGTAAAACCCCTATTCTTTGGCTTCTTTTCATTTAGTTATGTTCTCTCTGGTAATCTAATAGCTCAGATTTCGGACGACATTCTGTCAATTAAAATTCATTTTTAAAAGTTGCTAGATAAGGCTCTTCATAATGTCAGTGACAGCTCGAAGGTTCACCGTGGAAATACCGATAATAAACTACAAATGTACCAGCGGAAACGGCTGAAAAGAGTAAAAAGCCCTTTAATTGTAACTAATGGTTGTGGCTGAGAAGCAAAAAATGAGTAGTTGGCTTGAAGCTTTACTCTCAGTGATGAAATAGTATTTCCATTTGGAGCAATCTCTCAAACACCTGATACACCATTTGTGATTTGTGCAAATACTGTGATTCAGGTCCAGAAATGATCTCATAGTGTTACCAAAGGTGACTCACAGTGTCTTCAAAAGCGGACTGATTCAACGAGCTGATAGCCCGTCATTTTTTTTTGCTATCAGTAGCGCCGAGTGCCACTCGAAGGTGGCTTGTTCCAAGTGAAATTTGATTATCTGGATGCTATTAAAATGTGGCCTTGGTAACTGTTTCTATAGAAAGTACAAAAACGTTTGTAGCTCATTTTCTCCGCCGTTAGTTCATACGCCCTGTCAATTCCCTTTTCTTTTCGATATTCAGTACATTCATAATTTCATGTTCAGTTCAGATTGTTGTAAGATTTTCTTTATTTTCATCAATTCCGCCAAGTTTTTTTGTGCCAAATTGGCTCTTCTTCATCTGTATTTCGTGTGTTGAGAGGCACTACCACCACATTAATGCTACTCCTTCTCTATTCTGAATTTGCTACTGAAAATAAAAAGGATGGATGGAGAATTTGACGTTCCCAGTCCCGTTCCTGGGAAGGCCCCGCATCCGAGTTCAGTTCAAAGTTGTAGTATAACTTTGAATAAATGTTGATGGTGCGTATACTTTGACTGACCGGTGTACAAGTCAATGCATTTTTCCTCCCACACTAATCTGGAACCAATCATTTAAACTGAGGGTAGAAGGCTTAGCTGGCCTGGGAGACCGGAAAAAGAACTTGTTATCTTTAATTTACTTTCGTCTATCTAAAAGTTTATTATGAAATTTAATAAACAACTTTCTGATTTTTTGGCTGAAACGTATTAATCGGAGACGGATCCACCCCCGCAGAAAATGGTCGGCTTCTTCATCTGTCGTTGACTTTACTGCTTTGTTTCTGAGAGCAGAATATCTATTCTTCAGTAGTTGTTGATAATGGATGCTTTTTCACAGAATAAATTGATGCTGTTCCCCGAATTCTACCGAAAGCGGAACCATTGACGTTAAAGAGCATCGACACCTCTTCGTTCTCCTACTCTTGATTTTCCAAAGTATGGTACATGGGATACAATTTCTTCCTCTATTCTATATGCAANACGATTCTGAATGGAAGTCGAGTGCGGGTGCGCATCCCTCAGACGGGATTGATTAACGCCAAAAACCTTATCCTTTATTATCTTTTTATTCTATATCCAAGAAACTAGCTGTAAAGTACCAAAAATCAAAACTAATAACTTTTACGTCAGCTCTCAGTGGACTACGAGTTCAAGCTTGACAAGACCTTTTTATAACTAATGATTTCAAAAAAATTGACGTAGCACATGAATAATTCTTGTTCTCTGCGACCTTTCATCGCAATTTCAATTGGGTTTTTTGAGCTCCAAGTGAAATCCAGTCTGTTGGTACAAAGAGAAGAAATCATATTGAATAAGTGACAGCTCAATACTTTTCAACGATTCTTCGCTCTGTTTTTCCATGAATATGGTCAGCCCACTGTTTGCCCATCTCCTACCCTCGCATCGTTGTATTCGGATCTTAACAGCCACCTGCACTTTCATTTCCCACGCGCTTTGGGTTTTGAAGTTCTGAAACCTCTAGGATTGTGAGCGGCGCGATCCCAAGCGAAATCTGATAGATGAGTTCGTGAGAAAAGGTCCAATTTGTAAACTGCGAGCACTTTCTTTCTCATGAAAATTGTCTCCTTAAATTGAAATCCGCCCTTCTCCCCTTGTGTGTTCGACAGCCACAAAGATTGGTTGCTTACAGCTGATTGTCGTTCTTGTGATCAGCCTTTTTCGTTTCATAAAAAGTTCTCCAGAACTGAAAGGAACTTCTGAAGTATTTTCAGATGGAGCAGCCTCGAGTGTTTCCAGTTGATGCGCCCGTTGAAGCGGCTATCGACGGTAAAAATTTCTCATTCAGGTGAATTCATCCTCCAATAGGTTTTCATTTTTTCACTCTGCTCCTTTTACATTTTGTCATTTTTTGTGATTATTTAGCTGGTAATCTCACTCATCTTTTGTCTTGGTAGGGATCTTTATCTTCCCTATCTTTAATCTTTCAGTGATCAATCGATACGATCCCGGTTCGTAGCCAAAGTCTTTATTCTGGTCTCCATTATGGTGAGTTCTAGACCGTATTGGGTTTTTTTCTCCACGTAGTAAGGGACATAATAAATAGTGAAAGAGAGTATATAATTAATATTGGTTGCAGCCATGACTTTTACAGCTGCTAATTATCACAGTGAATCTGCTTGCTAATGGGTAATTACGGAAAATTGCTAAAAATTTTTATTTCATTTGAAATCGTCAACAAAGATTTCCATCCATTTTCCGGTGAAAATTCTGAAGGCTCACTTGGGCTACCCATACAATAAGTTAGGGCTGTACGGCTTCAAACCGATGCCTTTATCCCAGCACACTGTACTCTCGTTTGCCTGCCCAAACAGACGAGCTGGTTCGGAATACAACCTGCGATTCATGTTTGTAGCAGCAGCAATAGTGCTATAGCCTTACTTCTGTCCAGGAGGAACACTGTCAGCGTACCTAGGCAGTAGCTAGAAAAGCTGAGCTAACAAGCTTATTTTCAGTTTGCCATTGTAACTGTGATGTGTGCGATGCCGTTTATTTTTCCTGCTTTCATGGTCTGGGTTCAAAACAACATGGTTTTCTTATTTGTAGCAATGTGAGTTTCTTTTTTATTGAATATGTCAATTACGGCTTTGCCTGCCAGCTGTAGTGCAACGAGAAAAATTTTTGCTGGTAATTAAAAATTCGGTATCTCTGAAAACCTAAATTTAATATAGGAAAGACCGCAGGTGTGTGTTCATGCATGAGCAGCGAGTAAACATTCTTAGCAGAGTCCGCTTACTCCGATACCGAACCTGAGAGTGAATTTTGAGCATTAGAATTCTTCCCAAAAGAAATGCGCCCTCGTCCGCACATCAATGAATTCACTATGGGCCAAGATGTGCCACGATGGCCGTTTTGTTAGAAAAAGGTCACAGCACTTGTTGGCGAGACAAGTCGAGGATGTTCGTTCCTTAGATGTCAGGGGGGGGGGGGGGGGGGGGG